GGCAAGCTTTTGGGGGAAGAAAATGGACAAGACCTTTTTTTTTTCATTATTATGATTTTACCCCAGAGGATACAATCTATAGCCATTCAAACCAAATGTCCCTGAGGTGTGGGTAAATGATGTGTCTTTGGTCACTACCGCAGGCATCAGAGCCAGCAATCTGAGACACGGGTGAAGGCTTGCCAAAGCCTGCAGCTCGGGGAGCAAACCAGGCTGGGGGAGGTTAGCAGAGGAAAGTTTGGTTGGAAGACGGGGGAGGGAGAGCAGCCGCGTAATGAAACCTCTGAGATTCTTACAAGATTTATGGTTTGCCTTAGGATTTCAAGATGAGTTTTGGTCTAAAAATAGATTCCCAAGCTGCAGTATTCTTAGCTTTGCAGACTTGTGTAAGATGTCTGTTGTTCCTTGCCCATTTGTACCTGAGAGAGATTTTCTCCGTACTGTCGGTAATTCTGAAATGTCACTCAATCGTTCGACCCACGAGTGATCCCTTGAGGGCTTACCGAGATAAAAAATCAAGGTTTCACGTAGGGCAGGAAGCTTTCCCATCGACCACCCATCCATCCCCTCCCTGCCTTCCTGAATGGCCAACTCAGCGTCTGCATGGGGACGCCTCACGGAGATTTTTCAGACTCCACGCCCCAGTCCCAAGTCCTGATGCCCCTTTCCCAGGCAAGCCCTCTCCTTGTCTAGACTTTCTCATCTGGAGAAAAGGGTCCTCCACCCACCCACCGGCCCTCACCAGTATCTGGAGGGCCTTCTTGCCATTTCTCTTGACTTTCCCTCTAAACCCAACCCTAGAGCAAGTCCAGGGGATCCTGCCTTCAAGACAGACCTGAATCTCACTCTTCTCTGCCACCCGTCAAGTCCCAGCTGTCATCACCTCCCTCCAAGACTGGTTCCCTCCGCTCTACTTGGCGATCAGAAACAACTGGGGGGTATCTGTGGTAGCCTGGCAGCTGTCTCGTTAGCGGCCATCAGTGGCTCCCTCTGGGATGAGAAGCACACCCGGGCACCTGGCCTTGGCTGACGAGACCCTGTGTGGTTATCTATTCCTACCTCCCAGAGCTCATCTCGTGCCTCCCTCACCCTCATCCTCCTGCCCTGCTCACTCTGGCCTTCATTTAGGCTCTCCCAGGCGCTCACCTCTTTCTGGTCCTGGGACCTGTGCACCTGCTGTGCTTTCTGCCTGGACTTCCCCTGCCTCAGCCTCTGCCTCTCTCCGTAGCTCTCCTTCACTCGCCTGGCTCCTTCTCACCTCCAAGTTCTCAGCTAAGTTCTCACACAGGCTTTCGGGTCCCCTGCCACCCCCACGGAGTAAGGTCTCCTCTTAGCTTCTTCCACAGGCTCTGTCATACCTCACAATTGCATATTCATTTGTATATGCTCTTTATTTAACGTCCGTCTCTGATAAAGGTGGGACCATGCCATTCTTCTTCTTGGCCATCACCTAGTAGGCTCTCAGTCCATCTTGACGGGATGAACTGACAGGTGGTTGAATGAATGCCTTTTTTTTTTTTTTTTGAAGATTTGTGTTGTTTATTTGGAAAGCAGAGTGACAGAGAGAGGGAGAGACAGACAGAAAGAAAGAGATATTGCATCCCCTGGGTCATTCCTTAAATGGCTGTTATGGCCTGTGCTGGGCAGGGCCAAAGCCAAGAGGCAGGAACTTCAGATTATGGAATGGCAGTGTCATAGGCGGTGGCTGAACTAACTGTGCCATCGTGCCAGCCCCTGAGTGAATGCTGCTGAGCTGCTGACCCAGGGAACCATAGCAGGTGAACCTGGAGAAGACGACTCCAGCCTGCACCACCACTGTGGGAACGTATGCTTGCGTTACGGACACACAGCTTGAGTAACTACACATCTGAAGGAGGCTTTCCATTTTCAAAAACTCTTACTATTTCCTGGAAACAGATTGTGTCTCTCTGATTGTCTATTAAGGTTTTTTTTTTTTTTTAAAAAAAAAAAACTGCTGAAGATATTGGAACCAAACCAAAGTAATCTGCATTTCCATTTTTATATCTTAATTTATAAACTGCGCCTTATAATTTACAAGCACTCACTCCGTGTCTCTCACAGAGCCGAAACAAATACCAACTGTGCCAGCTCTGCTCCTCAAGTCTTCTCTCTGCACTCTATCAGGAGTGTTCTACCTTTTTGGATGGCAGCGGATGGGCTGCACCTTGCCCTGGCTTGGGGAGGGTAAGGAGAGTAACGCGGTGATAGGTCACATTTAATTAGGGAAGACTGGGAAGATCTCTTCCTGCTCCTCCCCCGCACTCCTCCCCTTTATTGATGAGAAAATAGGAGCTGGGGATGAGAATGACGTGGCCACGGAGGTTTTGCCCATGAGTGATGGAGCCAGGCCTGGAATCCGCATGTCTGGAATCTCCCATGTCCTAGCGACATTTGGGGCAGGATCACTGTTCGGTGTGCACAGCATCCCTGGCCTTCTCCTGTAAGACTCCATTTGCTCCCACCCTCCGGGAACAACCCCATATGTCTCCAGACATGGTCAAGTGTCCCCTGTCTCATCCGCCATTGAGAACCAGTGCACCAGACTGTGCCCTTGACCTTGATTCCAGCGAGACAGAGGTCGGGAAGACTCTTCTCCTTTCTGAGCAGCCCCTCCCTCATGTCCCCACAGTCTCAAGGTGGCCCCGCCCAGGAGGTCAGTGGAACTCTGGGGGAACACCCCGTGCTCTTGTGTGGCTTTCAGTGCTTGACCTTCTTGGTCATGTTTAACCCCAAAAGGTGGGTGCACCAGCTTTTCCGAGCGAGAAAACACAGGGGCTTAGAGAAGACGCACCTTGCCCGTGACTACATTGCAGTGACAGCTGGGTGGCAAACCCACATGCGGCTAGCTCTGAAGCGAGACGCCACCGGTACCACGTTGCCCCCGGGTCCAGCTCATGGGTGAGAGGCAGTCTTGTCTGGGGTCAGCAGGAAAGTGCTGTGTGAGCAACCCCGCCCCTTTTGCTCTATGAAGCAAGCATCCACCCCTCTTTAGGCTGCCCGTCTCTTAGGCAGACAGCACACACATCCACCAGGGTAGGTCTGAATGTCCGCCATCTCCCCAGACAAGCAGCCAGTTCGCGTACATGATGTCCTGGTGACCTAGGGCCAGAGACAAACATCTCTGAGCTCAATTTTCCTATCCATAAAATGGGAAGACCCACTTGTCAGGGTAGGTGTGAGAATTTTATTTTATTTATTTATTTAATTAATTTATTTATTTATTTGACAGGTAGAGTTACAGACAGTGAGCGAGAGAGACACAGAGTAAGCTCTTCCTTCCGTTGGTTCATTCTCCAAATGGCTGCAACTGCCAGAGCCGCGCCAATCCAAAGCCAGGAGCCAGGAGCTTTTTCCTGGTCTCCCACATGGGTGCAGGGGCCCAAGCACTTGGGCCATCCTCCACTGCTATCCCAGGCCACAGCAGAGAGCTGGACTGGAAGAGGAGCAGCTGGGACTAGAACTGGTGCCCATATGGGATGCCGGCGCCGCAGGCGGAGGGTTAACCTAGTGCGCCATGGCGCTGGCCCCAGGTGTGAGAATTAAATGAAGATAAATGGAGACTGGTTTGCACTGAGCTAGGTACAGGATAAACGGTGGCCAGTAATGCATGTCTAACTCCGCCACGGAGTTGCCTGCAGCAAGCTTGCTTTTGACTCCTGAACTTGTTGGGTCAGTGTGGGACCCCATGCAGCCTTGTGGAGTCACTTCCTAGGGCTATCTGCCCAGCTAGGTTCCATGCTGGCTGAGGTTGGAGCCTGTTCCCTGTCCCTTCCCCCAGGGACTGGCACTTTCCCCATGGAAAGTGGTTAAGAAGGATTCCTGAAGAAGCCATAGTATTGATGATCCCCACGGTCACGACTTTGCACGAGCCCTGCCTTTTATGGGTGTACCTTACTGGAAGAAGTGGTTTTCCTTGGTTTGCAGCCAGATGACGGCCCTGAATTCCCCACTCAGCTGCTGGGGCTATCTGGGTTATTTTGGTTCTGCTTGGGTCACTTTCTCTGATTTCCCCAGCTGCGCACTCCCTCGAGGGAAAGCCCAGAGCTCATGGCTGAGGAGTTCCAGAGGGGCTCAGAGGGGCTGGGACACCAAGCCCCATCCCACCTCCCATTCCCACCCTGCCCAGGGGTTTGCTCCTCCACCGCGAGTCAGTCCCTGGACTTCAATTTTCCCATCAGTAAACGAAGGAAATTAATAGGATCTGCAGCCAAGAGTTAGCAGAAGATGAGCTGCATGGTGTCTGGAATGCACCAGGCCCTCTGTGGTTACTAGCAATTTCTATCCCATGTCCTTGTCTTGGAGTGTGGGCTGGCCAGTGAGCCATCGTGCCCAGCGAGGGAAACTTTGACAAGTGTGTGAGCCCCAGAGGCGCGCGCTTTGCTGGTCTACGCTCTTCCATCAGACAAGGGTCGCTGGCTTCCGTAACCCCAAGGTGCCCTGAACACGGGAGCCAGACTCCTCTACCTCACCGCAAAAGCGAAGCACGGCCACCCCGCGCACTCACTTCATTTCTCCTCTTTACAATTAATAGAGGCTGCTCCAAAGTCGGTACTTTCCAAAGCGCCCAGGACAGAGTATCTGTCCCGGTGGCCACGCCAGCGCCCTGCTTCCCCCTCACTTTTGTTCATCTTCAGCCTTTTTAGTCCTCCCCACACCCCCATCACTTCCAGGGAGTGCAAGGGCTGCAGACAACTGGTCGACCTCTGCTTGGACCGGTCCCCTGGGGGTCTTCCTCCAGGCCGGTCCCTCCCCAAGGTCACCCAACTTTTCCTTCTCCCAGCCCCCGAGGTGGGTGGGTGGGTGGTGGTGGTGGTGCGGGGGGCTACGAGGGCGGCGCGAGCCCCCTCCCCGCGGGGCGGGCCCCCGCCGGGCCCTACCCATTGGCCGGCGCCGGGCTGCGGGCGCGGGTGCTGATGTCAGGCGGGCGCGAGTGCGGCGGGCGCAGCGGCGGCGGCCGCCCAGCAGCCCGGGCTCGGGTGGGGGCGCCGCGTGGGGGTGGCGGCCAGCATGCTGCTCGGCTGCGGCTCGGCCTCCCACACCCGCGGCGCCCTTGTCCTCGCCAGCAGCGGCGGCGGCGGCGGCGGCGGCCGAGCAGCGAGCGGCGCCCGCGTCTGCAGCGGCGCGGGGTCCGAGCGCGCGGCGCGGCGGCCGGGGTCCGGGCCGGGGCGGGCAGCGGGCAGTGGGCATGGCGCTGCGGAGAGGCGGCGGCGGCGGGGCGCTGGGGCTGCCGCTGCTGCTGCTGCTTCTGAGCGCCGCGTGCCTGATCCCGCGGAGCGCGCAGGTGAGGCGGCTGGCGCGCTGCCCCGCCACTTGCAGCTGTACCAAGGAGTCCATTATCTGCGTGGGCTCCTCCTGGGTGCCCAGGATCGTGCCGGGCGACATCAGCTCCCTGTGAGTGCGACCCCTTCCGCCCCGGCGGCGCGGGGGCAGCGCGACCCCGACCTCGCACCCCCAGCTCCCTTCTTGGCGCTTGGGTAGGGGCGCGCTGCGGGACGTGGGTGGGGGTTGGCCCGGGGAAGGGGAGGGAGAGAGGGGGAGGACGGAGGGACCCCGAGCCCCAGAGTCTGGGAACCTGTGAGTGTGTTTCTCTGAGTGTGGCCCGCGGGCCAGCTGCATCGGACCCACCTAGAAGAGCTGGTGCTAATGCAGACTCCGGGCCCCGCGCGGGTGCAGGGTCTCCGGAGTGGGGCCCTGGACCGTGCGGTGATTCCGCACGGGTGATTCTGGGCGTATTAAAGTTTGCGGGGCCGTGTGTGTGTGTGTGTGTGTGTGTGTGCAGGGGCATATACAGGAGCCGCTGCTCACGACTGGACTGAGTGCAGACTGGCAGGGTGAGGCCTCGCTGCCCCACCTCAGGGCTGGGCGGGCGGTCAGGCCGTGGCCTTCTCCTGACCTCGCCAAACTGCAGATTGCAAAGAGCCTGGCTAAGGTCCTGCAGCCCCTGGGAACCGAGGGGCCGCTCCACGTGGCCAGGAAGAGGGGGCTGGGGGGAGGGGCTTGGCAGAGCCCTGGCCGGTCTCCGGTGCCCTGCCCAGGGCCACGTGCTGGAAGTGGTCTAAGTTCAGGAGGGCTTCTTGTCCTTGTCCCCTGCTCCCCTGTCCTGCCCCCCACCGCGCCCCCACAGTGATGTTGGCTACCTTCTCAGCACCCAGGGAAGTGACAAGCAAAGGCTTCAAGTTATTTCTCCACCTGCTAAGAGAGGCTTTCAACTTGACCTCAGCAGCCCCTCAGTCCAAGTGGGCAGCTTTCCCAGAGGCTAAGAAAGGGGCTGGGGAGCTACGATTTGTCTCTGCTAAGCTCACTCCTCATTCCAGGCAGAGTCGGGGTGTCCACTCAATTGTAGAGGAAGGGAGTCCCCACGGTGACGTAGCTTGTGTTTGGGGCACTTTTCTTATATGTGACATTCCCTTGCCTTCTACCCACGGCAAGAGGCAAGGGCCTGGAGCCAGGAGGCGGGGTTCCGGTTCGCATTTATAGAAAAAAAAAAATTCTGGCTGGTGATGGTGGTGGTCCTTCCTGTTTATTACTATTGCCAAGTTGCGTGGCATGGAGGATTCCAGAAATTAGAGTTCTTGTGAAATCCCTTAGACCAATAGCTGCCTAGGTGATCTTCGTATCGACCGAAATAATTCTGAAATCGTGTACGGAGGCAGTGCTTGGCCAGAAAGGACAGGGACTGAGCCAGGGGGCAGAGGTCAAGCCATGCCTGTTGCCCCCGAGGTAAGCACTTGATCTGGCGGCTGGCACCGCCTCCTGCAGCACAGTCAAGCTCAGGTGTCTCTGAGTTTGTCCCCAAGGTTTCCACAGTGCATTGAATCGAAAGTGCTCTGAGATGTGCTCCCAAGTGCATGCTTAATCCCACCTCGGGGCTTCACGGCCAAGGTTAACTGTGTGCAAACAGAACCAAGGGCAGAGTAAAGTCAGCAGGGCTGGAAGTCCCAGTGGTGAGAGAGGCCGATTGCCCAGCTGCCTGGCTCTTCCTGAAAGAGACCTAGGCCTCGTTTTGGTCCTCTTGTGCTGTAGGAGCCTGGTCAATGGAACCTTCTCGGAAATCAAGGACCGAATGTTCTCCCACCTGCCTTCCCTGCAGCTGCTGTGAGTATGCGAAGTTCTCTCCACAAGCTGGGGGCCCCTGGGATGTGGTACTTTAAAGGGGGCCCTTGCTTGGTAGCCCAGCTGCACGAGGACAGCATGGCTGGCCCTCCGTGGTAAGCTGGCCTTTGTGGCATGCACAAGGGGTCCCTCTCTTAGTACGGAACCTGCTTTCTTGGGTGACGCTGTCACCAGGGTCCCACAGTCAGGGAGGTCCTGTTGCTTGGAATCAGGGCTAGGATTTCACCTGCATGAACCGTTCCCCAGACATCAGGCTTGGAAAGAAAAGTTCCCTGTTCCGGTCTCCCAGTCACTCTGGAGATGGGAGTATTTCCGGTTTCCTGAGCACGCCCACAGTCAGCCAGGTACTCTGCACTTTGGTGCATCGAGGGTGTTTTTCCTTCCCCGTTTGACACAAGAGGAAGTGGGGGCTCAGCAAAGTTATGCATTTATGTAGTTTGCCCATCACAGAGCCAGGATTCTGTCCCAGAGCCCAGCTTTTCCTGGGGAGCAACACCCAGGTCTCTGTGGGAAGAGCCCCCATTGGGCCCTAACTAACCCAGGTCAGTTCATGCTGGCCGATGAGGAGAAATAGCCAGGGACTGGCATTGTGGCACAGCAGATTAGGCAGGGCTGCTCTGCCGCCACTCTGCGGCTGATCCGGCTCCCTGCTACTGTGCATGGAGAGCACATGGCCCAAGGGCTCCGACCCTGCCACCTACCTGGGGGCTCAGGATGGAATTCCTGGGTGCTGACTTCGAGCTGGCCCCGCCTTGGCTGTTCTTGCCATTTGGGGAATAAACCAGCTGATGGAAGATCTCTCTTTCTCTCTCCCCCTCTATCTGTTGCTCTGCCTTTCAAATTAATAAATTTTTTTTTAAAAGGAAGAAATGGCCAGAAAGCGGTTTCCAGAAGCAAATCAGTGACAGGCAAAGCAGTGAGCATGTAGCTTATTCTCTTTATCTGTATAGGTTTCCTAGATGTCGAATGAGATTGAAACTAAAACCAGCAGCAGGCCACAGAGACACATGACGTGGAATACAGGTGCTCATTCTTCATCGTGATGAAACTCACGGTGGATATTTTCATTCTTAAGGTGTTCTATGCTTACTTAGGGTGCTGGTAACATTTTAAAATCTGAATTTCCTGAACAGTTGCAATGCTGTTAAACTATACTTTCCATAAGACAGAAATGCAATTTTAGATAGTCTTTTGACAAATAGACCTAAGAGATTACAATATAGGCTTTGGTCTAATAAGCTTTGTAATGAATACAGTAGAAAACTATTTGGTGATAAAGAATCTTCTGAAGATTTCTTTCTCCTTCAAAATATATATTGTAACTTATTTATTTATTTATTACTTGAAAGTCAGAGAGAGAGAGAGAGAGAGAGAGACAGAGGTCTCCCGTATACTTGTTCACTCTTCAGATACCTGCCATGGCTGGGGCTAGGCCAGGCCAAAGTCAAGAGCCAGGAACTCAACCCAGATCTCCCATGTGGGTGGGTGGCAGGGACACCACTACCTGGGCCATCACCTGTTGCTTCTGAGGGTGCAGAGAGCTGGGAGTGGCAGCAGAGCTGCGACTGGAACCAGGCAGTCTGATACAGTGGACATCCCAGGCAGTGTCTTCACTCTGGCACTAAACTTTTTAATTGTTCTGCATGAGAATGTATTATACAGCAGAAAGGATATTTTTGGTCCCAGCTATGTGACTTTAGTCACTTAACTTCTCTGGGCTCAGCTTTCTCCAAGGATAGATAGGTCTTTTTCCAGGTCTCTCATTCCATGATTGCTTTTGCATCACAAAGCTGGCTGTTCAGTTGTGCCTGGCAGCAAGATGTTCTCAGCGAATAGCCATCTGGTCCTATTCACCGAGACAACAGGGGAGAGGCGGGTGGAGTTTTGGGGTTGACCAGAAAACCCAGCCAAAGGGGTGCCCTTGGTGGTGGGGCCATCAGCAGCATGCGGGATCCAGCTTGAGGCCTTGATGGGCTGTCTTTAGGCTGAGCAGAGCCCGCGTTTGCCCACAGATGAGAACCAGAGCAAAAGAAACAGAAATGGCTTTGCCTTGGGACTTGGGCTGTCTACCTCCGCCTTGAAATCTGCCCTTTTGCTTTCAGATTGCTGAATTCTAACTCCTTCACAGTCATCCAGGACGACGCGTTTGCTGGACTCTTCCATCTGGAATACCTGTGAGTTGTGCGTGGCGGCCACTTGCTGAGCCTGGTGTTTCGGTGGTGGAAGGGCTGGCTTCCCCGGCTGCCAGGGCTGGGGCGGGGGGGGTGGTGGTGGTGGTGGAGGCAGCACCCCCCACCCTTGCCTTCTCAGCCCCGACCTTTGAGGGTTTCTTGTTGATAAACACGCTGGGGCTGGGTGGGTCGGAGCCAAAGGGGAGCCAGCAAACAAAGACTGCAAGTTCCCACTCATCCTGGGCTGACAGTGTGTCCATAGTAAGCACAGCAGGGGAACCGGGCTGGGTGTTTTTACCTCTCCCAACCAGGCATGGGAAGAGAGAGAAGGAGAGAATCTTCTATCTGCTGGTTCACTCCCAAAACGACCGCAATGGTCGGAGCCGGGCCGGGCCAAAGCCAGGAGCCTGGAACTCCATCTGAGCCCTCCATGTGGGTGGCAGGGGACCAGGTACCTGGGCCATCTGCGGTTGCTCTTCCAGGAGCATTAGCAGGGAGCTGGGTCAGGAGCGGAGCAGCCAGGACTCCACTGGCACTCATATGGGTTGCAGGTGTCACAGGCGATGACTTCACCTGCGATGCCACAGTGCCAGCCCCTAATTTTTCTTTCATTTTCTCCTGTAAAAAAAGGGAAGAAAGGTTATTTTCCCCTTATCAAATGTGCAGCGTTTTTTTCTGAGCAAGGAGCTTACCCTCGTTCTGATTTCTGCCTTTTCTCACTTTCATGTCTTTTTCCCTCTTAAGTCCTTTCATGCCTGTGCCTGCTCACTTTGTAATCATGTTAATCCTGCTATCAGATGGTATTTCCTTACTTCGCATTCAGGGGGATTGTTGAAACCCTGTCTCTGCTTTCTTATCGGGGGTCAACAGGTAGGTATTGGAATTCTAGACACAAGCCTCGGTCTAAGAAAGCTCTTGGCTGGTTTTGTGTCTTGGGGGAAGGTGTCTCTGGGGGAACTCTCTCTCCAGAGTGTGTGTGCGTAGTCTGAGTCCCCTCCTGGTGCTCTGGGGCCTACCTGACGTGGAAAGAGCAGTCCCATTGCAGTGCCAAATCCACCACGGCCTCTCGAAGAGCAAAGCAGAAAGCAGCCGGTGGAGCAGCAAAGACAAAGCTATGAGTTTTGCTGTTTTTTTTTTTTTCCCCACGTTTACTTAAAAGACAGAAACAGAGACAGAGAGAGGCCTTCCACCTAGACGGTTCACTCCCTGCAAATGCCTACAACAGCCAGGACTGGGCCAGGCTGCAGCCAGGAGCCCAGAACCTAACCTGGGTATCCCGTGTGAGTAACAGGGACCCAACTACCTTAGCCATCACCTGCTACCTCCCAGGGCGCACACCATCAGCAGACTGGTATCAGAAGTAGAGCCAGGACTTGAACCAGGAGCTCTGATTAGGGAATATGGGCACCCAAAGTGACGTCTTATTCACTGAGCCAAATGCTTGTCCCAGTTAGGTCTTTTAATGAACAGTTTGTCTTAATGTCAAGGTCACGGGGTTGGGGGGTTAGCTTCAGTTTACACTGAAGTCCATTCCCGAAAAGACACCTGAGTTTCTGAAAACAGCCATCAGATACTTTCCAGTGGAAGAGGGAGAAGCTGGCTCATGAGGGATGTCCTGTCTTGGGTTCTCTCTTCCCAGAGCCTCCCGTACATTTGTTTCCGTTTTTTTTTTTTTTTTTTTTTTTTTTTTTTTTTTTGACAGGCAGAGTAGACAGTGTGAGAGAGAGAGAGAGAGAGAGAGACAGAGAGAAAGGTCTTCCTTTTTTTTTTTTTTTTTGCCGTTGGTTCACCCTCCAATGGCCGCCACGGCTGGCGCACCGTGCTAATCCGAAGCCAGGAGCCAGGTGCTTCGCCTGGTCTCACATGCGGGTGCAGGGCCCAAGCACTTGGGCCATCCTCCACTGCACTCCCTGGCCACTGCAGAGAGCTGGCCTGGAAAAGGGGCAACCGGAATAGAATCCGGCGCCCCGACCGGGACTAGAACCCGGCGTGCCAGCGCCGCAAGGCAGAGGATTAGCCTATTGAGCCACGGCGTCACCGGCCTCCTGTGCATTTGACCTAGTGCCATGCCGTGAACTCAGATTGAGTCCGTGGCCTAGAGAGAATGGTTGTGGAACGTCCATGTCCTTTAAAGCACGGCTGGTGCTGTTATTGCCTGATGCACTGTGCGAGTCCTGAGCCGCTGAGGCCCAGAGGGAGCAAGGCGGTCCCTCCTCAATGTCGCTGTCTTTCCTACTCCCTGGCGACTCGGCCATCTCTGGTGTTTCCCTGCCTTGTCACTCAACTACTCAGAGGTCAGACTGTGCAGGACGCGATGAACCCCAGGGCGCTGGCAGCCAAGCGTAATGGAGCTCTCTCTCACACAAACTTGAATATGGAGATGTGAAACAGTGGGCGCCCCTCAAGGGACTATGATATTAACAAAGTAGGGATGGCCAGGCGCTGGCAGGGAAGAGGGGTTGAGCAGGCAAAAGGGCTGGAAGCATTCCAGTCCTGCAGAGAGAGGAGCATCGCTTGCCTTTGTACAGGATTTTTGTTCTTTTTACCATCATTGCCAACTGTGGATTTGAAGACGTCCGTGCTGCTTCTGGGAGGAGTGTCCTCACGTGCTGCACGCTTGCCCGGACACCTGCCCCCACGTGGAATCCAGTGTCACCAACCAGACCTCAGAGAGCAACTTCTGTAACTCAGCAGGCCTTGTAGAGTTTGTTCTGGAAGCCAACCTCATCCTGTAGAGATGTCAAGTTGAGAAAATGCAGCTTTTTGATGCTACTTTCCTCCCTAGGTTCATCGAAGGGAACAAAATAGAGACCATTTCAAGAAATGCCTTCCGTGGCCTCCGCGACCTGACCCACCTGTAAGTCCTATACAAAGTGCTCCAAGTCCTTTAGCGTGGAGTGACACCTCCTGCTGCCTTTCTCTTGCCCGACTATTTCCGTGTTGTAAGTTTCCCTGCAGGAAGCTAATTTCCACCTTGACCGGGAGGTTTCTGTGTTGCCCGTGGGATGCAGGTGCATCGCGGCTGCGCACACATTTGGCTCTGTCACCTTCTCCGTCATCCGGAGCTGCCCTTAGGGCCCACCTGGCTGCACGTGAAGCAAGGTGCACTCTGTGTTATGCGGGCCCGTGTCGCTGACGGAGGAAATGGAAAGTGAACAAGGGTCTTGTAACGATTCAGTGCCAGGCACGGGGCCCCTTGCTCACTGAGCCTTCTCTTATTTGTCTTTCATGATCATCTGCAAGTCCCCAATTTGCAGATTTGGAAACTGAGGCTCAAGTGACTCATTAGAGAATAATGAACAGAGGATTGGAGTTGGAACAAAGTGGGATAGAGACGTTTTTATGGTTCTTCCCATTTGAATGTAAATAACTGTTTCTTTTATGTTGGATTGATCTGCTTCTTCAGCTAAGCTCTCTGGTTCTTATTAGCTTTCTGGGGGAAAACATTGAACAAATTGATTTGAATTGGCATATCAGAATGAGGCCAGTACCTACACTGAACACATTTACCCGACTGGCTAAAATAGTGGCTGTGTTTATGAAAAAGCAAAAATAGTCGTTACCTTGGTTGGAGTAATGTGTCAGCCAGGAACCAGATCCCATTTGAATGACAGACATTTGGGGTCTCCTCCCTGTAGCCTGTATGCGTTAAAAAGACAATCTGAAGGGATTTGGGTGGGGGGTTGGGTAGGCGGGGGTGGGTGGGGTCTGGGCAGGCCTGCCATCAGCATATGTAGCCCTGACCTGGCCAGTGTGGACTCTTACCTGGTGAGATGACCCTCTGTACCGAGTCCTGTTGATGGCAGGTGTCTGTCTGTCGGCAGGCCCGGGGAGCACTTGATTCTGAATTGGTCCCGGGCAGAAGCTGGGCCAGAGCTAAAGCCTGTGGAGATGAGTGAGGCGTGGGGGAGGCCGGGACCTCTGGACCAGCGCGGTCCATCCTGCAGTGTCAGACTCCGGCTGGCACATCCTCACATTGCTGTGGGGACCATGGATTTGGAGTCACAGAGACTTGGGTTCAAAGGGCTGGGCCGTCACTTACTCCTGTTGGCCCCGGTTTTCTCATCCTTAGCAGGAGGGTGCTTTTGCTGACGTTGAAGGGATGCCGTACGTAAGGGGTTAACGCTCGCCTGCAGAGCAGCCAAGTGTGGCTGGTGCTGTCCACAACTCAGCTTAGGAAGTCTCAATTTTCTCCACGTCCCAGCAGTATGGGTGGCCCAACGGGGTCCTCGCAGAAGACAGCTGTGCATGGCTGGGGAAGAACAGCTGTGGCCGGATCAGTCTGGCTCCCGGGAATGAGGGGCTTTGTTGTGCACGAAGGCCCTGGGCAGTTTGTGAACCTAAAGCAAAGCCCGTGGGACTGGCTGAGCCCAGTGGGCTACGGTTCCTGTGTCAGCAGGAAGGCGTGAAGGCCCAGGTACTGGGCGTTTACATGGGCAGAGTTGTGCATTGCGCCCATGGGGTGTGTGTGCATAAGTGTGCGTGTGCAAGTGTGGGCATTTGGTATTTCGTGGGTAAGAGTGTGTGTGCATGTGTGCAAGAGGCACCTCCTGCTCTGCGTGACACACCAGGAGCACGAGGGACCAAGGGGATTTTCTCCCTGGGTCCAGAGCACATCGGATGCACTGGGCGAGAACCAGGTTTGTCCCACAGCATTGTCTGTCTGTCCGCTGTTGTACTCTCAGCTCCCAGATGAGGGCCCAACACACAAGAGGTGCCCAGGAAACCTTTGCTGAGTGAGTTAAGCACCGAGGTTGGAAGAGGTGTGGGCTGCTCCCACGAAGCTTCCTACAGGGGTAGCTGGGGGAACTGCGACTCTAAGAAAGGACTTGGTAAACGCTCTTTTCCATAGACACTCCGCTCTAACCCCAATGGGCAGGGCTGGACCAAACCAAAGCCAGGAGCCAGGAGCTTCTAACAGATCTCCCACGTGGGTGCAGGGGCTCAAGCACTTGGGCCATCTTCCACTGCTTTCCCCAGGCCATAGCAGAGAGCTGGGTCGGAAGACAGGCAGCCGGGACTCGAACTGGTGCCCATATGGGATGCGGGCACCGCAGGTGGAGGATTAACCTAGTGAGCCACGGTACCAGCCCCCGAGGCTAATTCTTAAGCTGATGATTTTGTATGATGCTATAAATATGCAGAAAAAATGTTTCCCAGCCCTGGGAGAAGACTGCGGCTCTCCCGAGTCTCTAGGAAGCCCCTCTCTGGAATTTGTTTAAGTAGCTGAGGTTGAGCTGCGCTGAACTTTCCCAACCTCCCAACCTCCCAACCTCCCAACCTCCCAGACTCACGCTGGGAGGTAAAGAACCATGGATCAGGTTGCAGAGTGTTGAAGGAGCTGGGCCAGCCTGTAACTAAAGCCTAGCACATTGTTTTCAGCTGGTCCTCTGACCCCAAAGCACGGGAACTGCTAAATAGTTTTGGAAAAGGAGGGAGTGCATGAATCTGCAGACGTGGTGAAGTGAAAGGGAGACTTAGGCGCTCAGTGGGAGTGGCCGGACAAGCGGCTGCATTGTTCTGCTTTCTGACATCCAGGGTGAATGCTTGGAGGATCGCTTAACAGCTTAACATTCTGCTTCGCTTGGCGTTAGGCGTTCCAGAATGTTCCTATCACTTCGCTACAATGGCTTTCAATTAGCTGACATTTTCAACAAAATAATTCATCTTTAATTGGCCAAAAGCAGCGAAAATATTTTTGTGTTTTGCTTTTTCAGAAGTGACCATCCACCAGAATCAAATCACAACACTTTTTGAAATTTCAAAAGGCTACTTCCAGCCTGTATTCAGTCTGATTACTTATTCAGCCTATTTTCCAACACATGTAAACATGTGCAAATAAACCATTTAGGAAAGAAAGGTAAAACAGCATGTGAAATTGAATTTTAATCCAGCTGCGATTACTTAGATAGGAAAGGGCGCAATGCAGACACTGGGTCTCCCCCTGTTCAGTTGGTATTGTGAAGCAAGGATATTTGGATTAAAAATGGGCACACAAGCTCCTGCTGTGCCCAGCTAACTGCCTCCAAGGTGGAGCACCACCCACCGTTTCTCTAGTTCATCTTCTTGGGCTGGGTTACCACGGTGCTGCATCGCCTCCGTGTTGACCATGCATAGGTCCTGGTGTTTGGAGTCGTATGTGTACAAGAACCTCAAGGAGGCATCAGTTTCCTGGCTTCTAGTAGAGCGTGGTGCCGGGGGAAATGACAGCCTCACTGCGTGGGGTGTCTCCATCCGCAGTCCTTCCCTGTGGACACCCGTCGTCAGCTGGATGGTCACAGGCCACTGCAGAGCCCTGCAGCAGCGGAGAGGGAGAGCAGTGATGCCACTCCTTCCCGTCTGTTTCCTGGAGGGGGAGCGGGGACTGTCTTAGAGGCTCAGCACTCAGAGGGAAAATGCAACATGGCCTCGGGTCAACCTTTGTTCAGGAGAAAATGAAACTGATCCTAGTCACTCCTGAACATTCACGGGGCTTATTGGAATTTTATTGTATTGTCCCAAGGGGTTAGAGCGGAGTGTCTATGGAAAAGAGCGTTTACCGAGTCCTTTCTTAGAGTCGCAGTTCCCCAGCTACCCCTGTAGGAAGCTTCTTGGGAGCAGACCACACCTCTTCCAACCTCAGTGCTTAACTCACTCAGCAAAGGTTTCCTGGGCACCTCTTGTGTGTTGGGCCCTCATCTGGGAGCTGAGAGTACAACAGTGGACAGATGGACAATGCTGTCTGTCCCCCTGCTGCTTATGCACTGGGAGGCTGCACGGTCAATAAAACCAAGCAAATGATTAGAATGTGTGGTGCGCTCAACGGAGTGGAGAAGGGAGCCATGCAGAGGTCAGGGCTTCACTTACCATCGGAGGGACTTCGGCTCCTAGGAGACACAGAGAGCCATCCATCGGAGGCTTAATGAGTGTGCATACAGAACTTACTAGGTGCAGTCCGAACAATGACAACAAAGAAACCTTACACCGTCAGGCGGCATCTACAAGCTGATCTTTGTGTAACTAAACTCATTTCTTTATTTCAGTATTGATGACCACAGCCAGAAATGGAACCATGTTGCCTTCAGGAGGTTAAGAGCTCTCTTGTAGATCATTAGCTTTATTGAAAGGATGTGACAGTGAGAGGGCCTGAGGATAATAACCGCAGTAAAATGTGACTTTCTGGTTCTAGTTCTTTGGCCAATAACCACATCAGAGCCCTTCCGAGGGATGTCTTCAGCGAGTTGGATTCTCTGATTGAACTGTAAGTAACGAAATAAAGTTCATGTGCATTTGTCGTTGTACCCCAGCTAATCACATCTTTCAATTCCTTCTCTCCCTTTGCTGCATTTCTTCTATACTGTAGCCAAAAATCTCTACCAAAGTAGCACACTCTGGTTAACAGCGTAGAAGTTGGTATTGTGTTAGCTTTTGCCATTTTGTAATATGCTGTGCACTGTTAAGCCAACGTCAAGTTTGACTTGCTGGATGGAAGATTCCCCTGTTTCCAAAGCAGCATACCCATCTCCTCGCTTGTCTAGTGTTTGTTACATGCTACTGGGCTGAATTTAATAAGATCTTCAGGTCTCAATTGTGCTTGTAGAAACTGTCTTCCTACAGTGTCCTGCAATTTATAAAAAGATTTATTCATTTATTTGAAAGGCAGTTACAAAGAAAGAGGGGAGAGAGAGAGGTTGTTATCTTCCATCCACTGGCTCAACGACTATTGCTGGACCAGGCTGACACCAGGAGCCTGGAGCTGCATCTGGATCTCCCACATGGGTGGCAGGAGCCCAAGTACTTGGGATGTCTTCGGTTGCTTTTCCAGGTGCATTAGCAGATAGCTGGATCCGAAGTGGTACAGCCAGCTCTCGAACCCGTGCTCCAGTAAGGGACGCCTATGTTGGGGATGACAGCTTGGCTCCCTGCACCACAACACCGGCCCCAGTGTCCTGCTTTTGTTTATGAGACCCTGTGTTGGGAGACGTTCTTCCCTTCCCCATTTGCAGCCTGGCATGGTGACGGTTTCGAGAGGGGTGGAGAGACAGTGCTGTGTCTTCTCTGTGTTCCATGGTTGAAACCCTGGGCACTGAGGAACGTGCAGTGAAGTCAGTGAGAAGCACAAGGACTCAGACCCCTGAAATGCTAGTCTTTTAAAAATTCCATTTTCAGGGGGTTTTCAATATATCAGGATGTCAACAGTTTGGGGATTTTGTATCACTACAAAAAACGGCACGTGCGTCTCTTGCTTTCTTTATGCCTGTCCTCGGGTTTGGTTTTCAGAGATTTACGGGGTAATAAATTCGAATGTGACTGCAAAGCCAAGTGGTTGTACCTGTGGCTGAAGATGACCAATTCCACCGTCTCCGACGTGCTGTGCCTCGGCCCACCCGAGTACCAGGAGAAGAAGCTCAATGACGTGGCCAGCTTTGACTACGAGTGCACAACCACAGGTAGGAGCGCCTGGCCGCCAACACGTGCAGAGCCTGGCCCCTGCCTTTCTTGTGGCCTGTCTGCCGTGATCCGAGGTGCTTCCTATCCAGGTTATTTTAGGCAAGGCTTATGCAGTGTGAAAGAAATCAATCGATGTGGTGCAGAAACCATCTCATCCACTGGCAATGACTTTTGTCACCGATGCTGGCTTTAATTTTGATTCTTTAGCAAATTCAAATTTTTCTGAAGTTTTTTTTTTTTCTTTTTAAAGTGAAAGTATAAACTGGTGTGTTCATCATGGGAACATGTTTTCAGCAGTGTAGGTTTTCTGGAAAACCGGGCCGAAGGCATAAAAGATGCTGTTGGCCCTGTTTTCTCCATCAGTAAGATCAAGTTTATCAGAAGTTTAACTGATAAATGCCAGGCTTTTGAATCTCTACCATACTTTCGTATTTCCATGTAAAAAGACATAGCTAGGTCACTTATAACCAATGGCAAAGTAGAAACTATTAATTAACAACTCACTGTCAAGAACAAAAAAAAAAAAACTCACATTGGAGGAAAAATGTAAAGAAAGTACAATCTTGGTTATCACGGTCTGCTTCAGAGTTTGTTTAGAGTTCCCAGGTTCTAAGACAAAATTAAAATCCTAACTCCTCCACTGTCACCGTGTACAGCGAGCAGGTGAGTGTCTCCATTCAGAAGGTTTCGGCGGCGGCTCCACGGCTTCTACAGCCAGATGTGGAGGGCGAGAGGATCCGTCCACAGCAGGAACCTGGCTTGCCAGCTGTTTATAAAACCAGATGTTCTGCCGGCGCCGCGGCTCACTAGGCTAATCCTCCGCCTTGCAGCGCCAGCACACCGGGTTCTAGTCCCGGTCGGGGCGCCGGATTCTGTCCCGGTTGCCCCTCTTCCAGGCCAGCTCTCTGCTGTGGCCAGGGAGTGCAGCGGAGGATGGCCCAAGTGCTTGGGCCCTGCACCCCATGGGAAACCAGGATAAGTACCTGGCTCCTGCCATCGGATCAGCACGGTGCGCCGGCCGCGGCGGCCATTGGAGGGTGAACCAACGGCAAAAGGAAGACCTTTCTCTCTGTCTCTCTCTCTCTCTCACTGTCCACTTTGCCTGTCAAAAACAAAACAAAACAAAACAAAACAAAACAAAAAACAAAAAACCAGATGTCCGGGCTGAGAGGTGACGTCCACAAAGCATCGAGGCATGTCAGGAGAAGCGAGCAGAGTGAGAACACAGCACACTAAGACCAGTGCCTGCTGCCGCCGCTCTCCAAAAACAAAGGGAAAAGCCTGCCAAGTAAAAATTCCTTCTAGGTATCTTTGTAAACGCGGAGTCCTCCAAGTTCTGCTCTTCGTTGATAGCCAAGCTGAAGCTGCAGGGAACGCCCCTTCTTGCCCCGCCAGGCAGGGTGTGTTCGGCTGTGCGATAGGCAGGTGCCTTTTAGCCCTTGCGACTGCTAGGAGGTTGCTATTGTATCGCAGGACCAGTGCAGCGAGTCAGAAGCCACCCTCCCCAATGCTTGCACCCCCAAAAAAATGCCATTCAAGGCCCTAGGTGGGACGGGCCAAACCAAAGCTCGCTGGAGCTCCTTTTCTCTTTTCCAAATATTCTGGAGAGTTCTCTAAACCTCAACAAAAAGTTAGCATCTTTCCCATGGCTCTGTTCATACTTGGCCATCGTGTATGCCAGCTTTGCCAGGCTTTGAGAGGACTGACGTGGGCTACCGAGGGCCTTGGGAATAAGGAGAAATTGATAGGAGAGAACATGATTTCTGGCCGGAGGGCCCTGAGTTTGGTTAAAAAATTGATCCAGGCTTGGAGAATTGTCATTGGAAAGGGCGTGGCTTGGGAAGTGAGGTGAGCAAGTCCTGAAACCTGCGGTAGTGAGGGGAGCAGCTGGAGCCCCCTACCAGATTTGAAGACCTTTTTGTCCTAGGTAAATCTTCCTTCCTTGAAGACTTCGCGCTGCAGTTGGGAAAGTCAGCACGAGGCTTGCTGGCAGGAGGGAGATGACAACTCCGTCTTAGCTGCTGTTTTATCCCTTTAAGACGCATCGACAAATTAGCAAATGCTCAGTTACTTCCATCAGGACCAAAACAGGGACGGACACTGAAACTCTGCCCACCGTCACGGACACGGTGGGGGGGGGAGGGGAGACGGACACTGAAACTCCGCCCACCGTCACGGACGCGGGTGGGGGGGGCGGACACTGAAACTCCGCCCACCGTCCCACCGTCATGGACGCGAGGGCCATCTAAAGGCTCATGGAAAACGGGCTGATGGAAAAACGATGCATGGATTTCCAAAATTTTTGCACCAAGCTAAACTTACCTTTTAATTCTGGTTTTCCATGAACGTTTGGAAGCCCCCTCCCATGGTCTTAGCTGCGAAAGAAGCAGCTCAGTCGAGTGCTAGGTGTTCGGCTCCCATCAGGCTTTGTTCTCTGGTGCACAGCTCTTACTACAGGTCTGGCGAGAAGCACCTTACCCAGGGTGATGCTTCCCTCGCAGCTCGGATCTGCAGGAAAGGAGTCCACATACCTTCGGCGGAGCTGTTTTCCCAGACAGGGGAAGGCACGAGTCCTGTTTCCCTTCTGCTGCCTGGCAAAGGCATGTAATTAACACCACACAGCCACCGCTGGGCTATTGCAACTCTTTAGATTAATCACGGTCGTGCCATACCCCTCCCCTTTCTGTCTATTTTTAACCACCTCAAAAATCCCTGTTACTTACCAGTGATTCCCCGTGTTAGGCGGATAATTCCCTGCGTCCCTCAGAGGGAGTGAATCCTGCATCCTAATTGTCCTGTTAGCTTCCCTATTTCGGAGCTGATGAAAACGCGAAGAGAAATAATGCATTAATGTGCAGTTTCCCTCCCGATAGGCTAGGCATCATGTATAATTTATTTTCTGCAAGTGCTATAAATAACTAGGCAAAAAAAAAAAAAATCTGTTGATTCCAGTGGGAGACAGGCCTGAATTGTCACAGTCCCACTGACATCATGAACTTAATCCAGTGCGGATGGAAGTGGCGGCTGCTTGGGCAGAGCGTGCCACTCATATTTTAGCATTAGGAAATTGATCCATACGTGTGTTTCTTGAGATTTCTCTGCAGTGCGTGTGCCTTTCCATTTGTGAAAGGTAAATGGACATGGAGGTGAGAGAAAGTACCAAGTTCCTCCAGACACACCCAAGCTTCACAGGTGCACCTGTCTCTTCTCTTCCTCTTCTTCCTCTTTGACCACTTCCTTTCTGGGGAGAGGGGCTTGGGGGCTTCCTTTCTGGGGGAGGGGTTTGGGGTAGGGTCTCCTATTTAGAATAAGATTTGCAATGCAAATGATTTGGGCAGTCTGTTATGCCCGATGGTCAGTGCGCAGAAAATATTATGAAACCACTGTTTGCAGGGAAGTCCATTCAAAGGGGACCAGGAAAGGCAAGCTTCGTAAAATGCTTTCTGTTCTGGCAACTCTTGTTCATCCTGGGATTGCTCAGTATAAACGGAAACTTTTGGTTCTGCACTTTAAACAGCCTGCAGCTTTTAAGCAAGCGCTCGGGTTTCTGAGAATTAAAAGCACGGCTGGGAGCCGAGCAGGAACCAGGAGAGGAGTGAGTTATGGGCGTCGCGGGGGCGGTTAGAGCCTTTGGCAGACCTGGACGAGAGGAGCGCGGATGGTGAGGTGGGAGAATGGTTTGCCGGCTTCTCGGCTGTGATGGGCGGCTCGCAGCCGTGTTCTCCAAGTCCCTCATATGTCTGGAAAAAGGAGCCTGCAGTAACCGCACGTTTCCTGCTGCTCCGTTCACCGACGACTGAACCTGTGCAGTCAGCAGTGTTTTCCGGCTTCTCCCCCAGTTCTGCCAGTGCCAGCCCGGCCGAACAGAGGGTCACTTTGTTCTGTTCCCCAGCTTTGTTATTTTGGGGTGCAGGGGTGAGCTAGCAGCCGTCCGGACTCTTTCCTAAGCCATTAAGCAGGTAACTTATTACTGTCATTGTTGCAGTTGCAAAACGATGGAGCAGTCCCCATAGATGAGGCACCATTTGCTGTATACTCACATGCGCGCTCCCATCCAGTCTGTACAGCAACCTTATGATCTAGAAGTCACTGTCATTTACCAAAGAGGAACCTGAGGCTCAGCTTTCTTGCCCAAGGTCAAGTGGCAGGGCAGGGGGCAGAAGCCCAGGCTGTCTGACCTCCAAGCCAGCCCCTCACCTGGGAGCCCTGCTCTCACTTGGTGGAGGCCACTCTGTCCACCTGTCCCCACCACCTCTTGGTCACCTGCTGCCTGTTGGGCTGCAGAAGCAGCCTCCTCTTTACTGCCTGCAACACAGCCCTCTTGTCTCTCCTGACTGCACCTGCCCCCTCCCCGACAGTCTTCAAAGTGAGCTGTGGAGTGAGGCCAGCCACCCAGCAGGAAATGCCTTCTGTGCCCCCAGAACAAGGGGAGGGGCACCTCCAAAGGCCACCGTGTACCGAGCCTCACTTCGGGGGCGGCTGAGTGAGTAGGAGTGGTAATACATGGAGAGCAAATTGATGCACTTGGAGGCTCCGTCCTAAGCAGGCGGTGGCTCAGCTCCTGCCTCCTTTAGCTCAGATGCCATTCAAATGGACACGCCCCCAAAGGCAGGCAGATGTAGGACCGGTGTGGGTCCTCTCCCTGACCCTGGCTCCCCGCATGGCAGTGTGCCAAGCCTTGCAATAGGCGTTTCCACCAACGTGGCCTGATCTGTCTCTGCCAAGCAGGCTGGGAAAGAAGTGTCAGTGCCCTGGGTCCGTAGGTGAACTGGGACCTGCAGAGGTGAAGGGGTCACCCCAAGTCTCAAGGGTGGGGCGTGGCTGCAGGTGCACTCTTCCCGGGGGGGAGCTCCTTCTGCTCTCCCCCCCCCCCAGCCCTAATCTCCTCTTGTCACTTGACCTTCACCTGCCCTTCCCATCTCTCTCCTATGTCCCCCTCTCAACCCCCTCCCCCAGCCGCTCTTACCCCCTTTCCGGCCTCTGCTCCTTTGGCGCTCTCCCTCCTGGCTCACACCCGAGTGGCCCCTTCCATGCCTTCCTCATTTGGCATCTCACCTGGGGCTCCCCGCTCTGGATGATTTCTTGGTGGGCTGTCGTGGGCTTGGGCTATGGGGCGCTCGGAGACATGGAGACCCAGAGCCTGGCCTCCTGGAGCCCTGGGTTCAGGACACACGGCCTGCTGGCTGTGTGGCCACAGCCTGGCACTCACAGTCTGGGCTCTGTGAAATGGCTCAAGGCTCTAAGCTGCCTCCCATAGCTCCACAGCGGGCTCGGACATCATGCTTTGGAGTCGTAGTGCGTAAGATCTACACATCAGTGCCCTGCTGTGAGCCTGGCGAGTTAGGGAAGAGTGTTGAGGATTGAACTGGACAGGGACGGCTTCCTGGAGGGGATGGGACTTGAGTGGGGATAAGGACTGCATGCAAAGACATGGGCAAAGCTCGGACTTCCTCGTCGGAATAACTTTCTGTAGCCAAGAGCCCATTTTGCCGCACACTTTACCTTGGATGTGGTTACTTTACAGAGTAGCAGTGTGCATTTCAGCATCACCAGCCAAAGAAACGACTTAAACTTTGCTTTTTAAACCTGTTAGTGTGTGTTTTATTTACTTATTATTTTTAAAGTATTTATCTGAAAGGGGGAGAGAAAGAGAGAGAGAGAGAGAGAGAGAGAGAGAGTTTTTCCACCTGCTGGTTCACTCCCTAAATGGCCTCAACAGCCAAGACTAGGCCAGGCCAAAGCCAGGAGCCTGGAACTCCATCCTACCCTCCCACATGGGTAGCAGGGGCATCCTCTGTTGCTCTCCTAGGTGCACCATCCGGGAGCTGGATCAGAAGTGGAGCAGCAGGGGACTCAAACCCCTCCTCCAATACGGGATGCTGGGGTCGCAGGCAGCAGCATAGCCCGCAGCACCACAGCGGCCACCCCAGTGTGTGCTTTTTAAAGAGCTCCTTCCTCCCCTGGATTTCTCCACATGCCCACACCTACTCTCCTGGCCTCCGAGGGCATGCCTGGTAGTCGTGTGTCTCTGCCATCGAGAGTCAGGGTAGCCTGGGGCAGCAATAAGGATGTGGAACGGGAGTGTAATGCTCATTGTGACCCTGCGGTGGCGCTGTTTCCCACCAGGGGGATGCCTGGCTCGGGGGTTTAACAGGTGAGAGGCAGCACATCCAACAGACTAAACAGGCATTGCCTACGAGGGGCTGTTCTGCAAAGGCTGGAAGTGCAGTGTTCCCAGACTAATTCAGCCCTTTGTCACAGGGTCACTTGCGAGGTTTCAAGAACGTTGTTCTGGGAGCTTCCTTGCTATCTTGTCTTTTTTGAAAGCGGGGTCTCCCCAGATTTGTTTAAAGCGTTGAGCTCTTTGGCCACACCGAGGAAGCTGTTTATCTACAGGCAGCTGTGTCAGGAGCTGTGCTGTCAGACAGATCGCCCTGCGCCAGCCAGCTCCCCTCCTGGGATCTCCTAGAGCGAAGCGTGCTGCGATGGCCCCCGTGCTCCTCCCCGGCCCCCCGGCCTTCCCGCCCCCCTGTCCCGCTTGGATCTGATGATGAAAAGTACGGACTCGACCGTTCCCACGAGAGCTCATGAGCGCTTCTTTTAAACCCCTGTCCCCAGATTTCGTTGTTCACCAGACTCTGCCCTACCAGTCGGTGTCGGTGGATACGTTCAACTCCAAGAACGACGTGTTCGTGGCCATCGCCCAGCCGGGCATGGAGAACTGCATGGTGCTGGAGTGGGACCACATCGAGATGAATTTCCGCAGCTACGACAACATCACAGGTGTGTGTGGCCGTGAGCAGGTGCACGGCCTAAAGCCCGAGAGAGCAGAAGCCTTCTGTCTCCATCGCGTCCGGGGATGGGGTGGGGGTGCGGCAGAGGGCAGGGAGGGCTTGGCTGTCCAAGTTCTTAGGCCAGGGAAATACGCTGCAGCCCACCCTCATTGTCTCGCCAGTTTTTTCCTGTTGGTGAGAGCAGACCCTGGAGGCGTTCTGGAGGTGATCTTATTTATTGCTGGTGATCAATAAATAAGAGCTCCTTCTTCCCCTGGATTTCTCCACATGCCCACACCTACTCTCCTGGCCTCCGAGGGCGTGCCTGGTAGTCGTGTGTTCCTGCCATCACGAGTCAGGGTAGCCAGGGGCAGCACTAAGGATGTGGAACGGGAGTGTAATGCTCATTGTGACCATGCAGTGGCGCTGTTTCCCACCAGGGGTATGCCTGGCTGGGGGGGAAGGGAGAGGGGTGGGTTGCAGGGGAGAAGTGGGACGTCTCTTCCGGAAGTCACACCAAGAAGCGCTTGGTCTTGAGTGGTTGGAACAGCCTAAGAGTTCTAGGAGTCAAATGATGCCTTTTGAGTTTCACCAAGCCGACTGTTAACTCATGGTCCCAGATGCCCCATCCCTGTTCCTGGTGCACCCCCCCACGCCCCCGCTGGGTCCTGGCGATCACCACTTTCATTTCGTAAGTGCACACGACATGAGAATAAGGACCTCCCTATCCAGGCCTTTGAGGTGTGACTTAGTTAACACTTCCTTTGATGCTGTCACGGGCTCCCGGTGTGTTAGCATCACGCAAAATGGACTGTGGACTTGCTCTTTCAATAAGTGGGCAGAATTGAAATAATCTTACCAGGACTTCGCTTTTATCCAAGTGCACTCTGATAATAACCCCGAGTTTGTAAACAGTGGCGGCCACACCAGCCTAATTAGCGCCCTGTGGGAGAATTTCCTTTCAAGATTCTGAAGAGCAGCCTTAGAGAGAAGCCCCACTAGGAGAATTCTGGGTGGGGCGGGCTCCTAGGGTTTGGGCTTCACAGCAGCAGGTGCACGGAGGCAGGGAGACTGGAGAGGGTCGTGTTCACCCCTTGGGGCCGAGAGCCGGCTCAGATGCTCCTGGCTGCTGGCCGCCCAGTGCCGAGCTCCCCTCCCCAGGTGCAGACCCAGCACAGAGCGGCTCTGCTGGACCCGCCTGGGGCGCTGGCTGCAGCCGCAGAACCCTAAGCCCAATCCACGCTGAAAGGGAAAGTGGTGAGAGAGGCCCGCCCCACCCTGGTGGTTTCTTGCTCTTTAGGGAGGGATAGATGGGCCGGCCTCAGTACCTCTGCTCCCCTCCCCAAGCCCTTCCCGCCCCCTGTCTTCGCTGAGACCTGCGAGGAGCCGACACTGGTTCATTTCCCTGGAGATCCCCAGCTTCCCTGTCTGAGGACCAGCAGGGGTGCTGGAGCGGCGTGAGCAAGGGAGCCGGGGCAGGTGGCGGAGGTCTGGGTAGGACGCGGTCAGTGCGGGTGGAGTACAGGTGGCCGGGGCCGGAGCCCTAGCTGGAGCTTGCTGGTGTCCAGGAAGTCCCCAGCCCTTTGGTCTCTGTATCTGAGGCTTCTGGGAGCTGGTGAGCTCCTCCATGCAGCCCACCTGGACTTGTCCCAGCCAAGCACAAGAAATGAGACTCAATGGTGTGATGGCTCCACCTAGGAGTTCCAATGCCCAGCCTGTCAGGGTTCTCCTGGCTCCAGCTCTTACCAGCTGGTGACTTGGGCCAAGTTACTTCATTATATGGGTCTCCTTCATCTGTAAGTGGGACTTCTCTAAGTTTCCATTTCATCCGTGAAAAGGGATCAGCACAGTATTGGACACAGGGGAATGTGATAAGGATTTCATGGGGCTGATATCCAGCAGCCCAGGGCCTGGCCTGTGAAATCCTCCCCAGCTGTCAGCTTTACCAGTGGGAGAACACGTGGGAACAACTCTCTTTCTTTCCTAGCAGACACCAACTTTTTGGCTTCGGTTAAGACCATCCAGTGACTTTCACAAAGCACAAGGATGCAGGGGAGGGCAGAGACCGCCTGGGGGAGGCAGGGTGGTGGCAGAGAAGGTGGACTGCCCGGCGGAGGGAGGAATGCGGCTGCCCCTCGCTGGCTGGGTGCAGTGAGATGTGAGGGAAAGCCCCGTGCACACACACACACACACACAAACACAGGGCATCCCGGGGAACTACACTGGCTCTGCACGGGAGCGCGGTGAGCCTGGACGGGCTGCCCCGCGCTGGCCGGCCTGCCTCGCTGGGCATGTTCTTTGGCCATGGAGTGACTCTAGAGTCAGGAAGGATGGGGCAGGGTTTTCTCAGTCCAAGCCCAGCAAGCCTGGGGCTCCTGCTTCCTCCTGCTGACCGTGGCGTGCCAGGGACAGCTCCAGCTGCCCGTCTGCTCCAAGGGGGAGGGAGAAGCCCACGGTCATGCTCACCCTGAGGTCTGCACCACCATCTTCTCTTGTTCTCTCTGCGTCTCTGTTCAGCTCATCCATTTTTGCTTCATTTGCTTGGCCTTTTGATTTCTGCGCGACCAGTCTGTTCTAACTTGTAATTCCCCTTCCTGCCTTCGCGCACACACACACACACACACACACACGCACACGCACGCGCGATGAGCTCTGCTCCTGACAACTCCGAGACTGGACAGAGGTGTTATGAAAGGAATTCTTTCTTAGACGGCCCCTCCCCAGGCAGGGCAGGCAGGCCTCAGGCCACCTCTGGGTGACAGGGGTCCTCCACAGCCAGGTGACTTGAGCAGGGACAGGGAGCAATCAATGCAGCCTTTGAAACGCAGCTTGAGCCCCAAAGCCTTAAAAACGCATGCAATGTTTCCCCAACAGTTCCTACTTTTAAGAACATTGCCAGATGGTTTTAAAACCTGCTATTCAAGCGTATGTTGAAGAAAATGTTATTTAGCACTAATGAAGAACTTAGAATTAACTGTGGTGCCCAACGAGAAGGGATTAGTTAAATAAAATGCTGTGCATCCATGCAGTGGGGTGCTGTGTAGTGTTCAGAAAAGCAAGCTGTTGAAGATTCAGCTACATGGGAAAATGTCCACAGCAAAGGGATCCAGTGGAAAAAACTAGACTTTAAAAAGTGTATGTATGGCCGGCGCCACGGCTCACTAGGCTAATCCTCCGTCTGTGGCACCAGCACCCTGGTTCTAGTCTCGGTTGGGGCGCCGGTTCTGTCCCAGTTGCTCCTCTTCCAGTCCAGCTCTCTGCTGTGGCCCAGAAGTGCAGTGGAGGATGGCCCAGGTCCCTGGGCCCTGCACCCTCATGGGAGACCAGGAGGAAGCACCTGGCTCCTGGCTTCAGATCAGCACAGAGCACCGGCCGTAGCGGCCAATTGAGGGGTGAACCAACGGAAAAAGGAAGACCTTTCTCTCTGTCTCTCGCTCTCTCTCACTGTCTAACTCTGCCTGTCAAAAAAAAAAAAAAAGTGTATGTATAGTCCAAGTCCCAGTTTTTTAAAAGAAGCATGTGTGAATATGTGCACAAAGAGGAAACAGATCCACTTAGTGTTTTTTGTTTGCAGTACAGTGAGTTTTACTTTCATCTTTTTGCTTTTTTCACAAATTTGTTTATTTGAGAAGCAGAGAGTCAGAGAGAGATACAGACGAGACAACCTCCCATCTACTCCCCGAATGCCCACGATGGCCAGGACTGGGCCAGGCTGCAGCTGGGCGCCTGGAACTTAATCTAGGTGTCCCACATGAGTGACAGGAGCCCAATGACTTGAGCCGACCCTGCTGCCTCTTAGGGTGCACGTTAGCAGGGAAGTTGGAGTCAGGAGCCGGAGCCAGGAATTGAACCCAGGTCCTGTGATAGGAGATAGGGTGTCTTCACCATGGTCTTAGCCACTGGGCTACACACTGCCCCTGCTCTCGGGTGGCAGGGTGTAGACCAGAGCCAGACGCCCTGGATTTGAATTCCAGGCTCCACCGCACACATTAGCTTTGCTACTTCATGTAGATTTCCCACCTTCTCCTGTCTCCTGTTGGAAGTTTCTCTGTGAAGTGGGGGTGAGGGTGATAAGAAGTAAGTGCATGTGAAGTGGTTGGCCTTGCAGGCCCTGCTTTGTAAGTTTGACCCCTTATTACCACCACCTTTTGCTTTATCCTCGGAAAACAATGTGAGAATCTGCTGTAATCAAGAGAAAGTAAACACCTCTCTCTCTCTGCTCCCAGGACAGAAATCGGGTGGTTATCCTTGTGAGTTACAGAGCCCGTTTGCTTTGATCTAAATTACCTAGGAAATTAAGGGCAAGAAATGACTTTTAATGGGATGACCCAGATCAAGGGTCTTCAGCCTTTCAGACGTGGGTGACCCCTTGTTTGCAGGCTGGCCTGGGTGTGGTGTGGGAGGTGACCCACAGAGCAGAGTGACCGCTGAACGTGGTCGCCTTTCCTTGCACGGTTCTGGCGCTGATATTTATGCTGTGCCTGCCAGGGCTTAGGATTTTCTAGACAGTCGCCTCAATTGTCTCATAATGGTAGCTGCTAATTATTAACCACCCGTGCTCTGGACCGAGGACAGCCACCGTGACTTGTGACGTGGGTCTTGCAGTCTCCCTGTAAGCGCATCAGTCTCATTTTGTGAGTTACCTGGCACAGGGTCAGAGACTGTGCAAGGAGCAGGGTGGAGTGTGGAACTCAGCTACCTGCTGTGGGCTCATCCACACTCTTCTTGGCTTCCTGTGGCTCTGCGGTTTCTTACTCTCTTGTCTTGACATTTATTTCCTTATTTATTTATTTCCTCAGGTTTTTCTTTTACTTGAAAAATATAGAGACAGACTTTCCACGCAGTGTTTCACTCCCACATGCGTGGGCTGGGCCGTGTGGGTGGCAGGGACCCCAAGACTTGAGCCATCACCTGCTGCTTGCTAAGGTGCACGTTAGCAGGAAGCTGGGATTGGGAGTGGAACCGGGACTGGAACACAGGCGCTCTGATGTGGGATTCAGGCGTCCCAAGTGGTGTTCGCCCTGCTCTGCCAAATCCCTGACCCTGTGCCTTTAAGAACTGATTCCTTTCCCCTCCTTTACTTCCCCTAAGAAGCTCCTTGAACTGCCTCCTTCTGTCCTGTGGAGCCAGAAAGTGTCTTTTTATAGGGTCATTTTTTAAATGAATTTTTGATTGACAAATAAAAATTAAATGACTTACCATGTACAACATGTTGTTCTGAAATAAGTATACATTGTGGGATGACTCAATCAAGCGAATTAACATCCTTTTTTAAAAAAATAACGCGAAGACGGTTCATTTTGCGAGTTAGTGAATTTCCCAAAGTGTCGCTGGTCTCTTGAGACTGCTGAGACCCTGAAGACCTCACAAACCCTATCTCTATGGTGGCATATTCTGATCAAAGAGTTTTTAAAATTTGAAAGACTAACAGAGAGAGGGAGGGAGGGAGAGGGAGAGGGAGAGGGGGAGAGAGAGAGAGAGAAAGAGAGAGAAATCTCCCATCCACTGGTTCGCTCTGAAGCCAGAAGCCTGGAACTCCATCCAAGTCTCCCACATGGGTAGCAGGAGCCCAAGCACTTGGGCCATCTTCTGTTGCCTTCCCAGGTGCACTAGCAGGGAGCTGGATTGGAAGTGGAGCAACTGGGACTTGAACCCATGCTCCAATGTGGGATGCTGGTGTTGTAGGCAGAGGCTTAACCCATTGCACCACAATGCCAATGCCCTAGGAGGCATGCTTTAAAAAGACATTGAAAAGAAATTTGAGGGGCCGGCGCTGTGGTGCAGAGGGTTAACACCTTGGCCTGAAGTGCCAGCATCCCATATGGGCACCGGTTCTAGTCCCAACTGCTCCTCTTCCAGTCCAGCTCTCTGCTATGACCTGGGAAAGCAGTGGAAGATGGCCCAAGTCCTTGGGCCCCTGCACCCCTGTAGGAGACCAGGAAGAAGCCCCTGGCTCCTGCCTTCAGATCGGCAGTTCCGGCCGTTGCGGCCAATTGAGGAGTGAACCATCGGATGGAAGACCTCTCTCTGTCTGTCTGTCTCTCTCTCTCTCTTTCTCTCTCTGCCTTCTCCTCTCTATGTGTAACTCTGACTCTCAAGTAAAAAATAAATAAATCTTTGAAAAAAAAAAGTTTGGCTTTGTGGTTAAATCCACGTAAAATCCACCATCCTGCCTGTTCTTGAGTATACTGCTCAGGGGCGTTAGGTATGTGCACGTGGTGTGGCGTCCGTCTCCAGAACTCTCTTCATCTCCAAAAGCTGAAACACTGGATCCGGTAAACAACAGCTCCTCACACCCCACGGCCTCCAGCCTCGGGCAACCAGCCCTTTCCTTTCTGGCTCTGGGAGCTTGATTCTTCCGGATTCTTCTCGTATAAGCAGAGTCACTCAGTATCTGTCTTCTTGTGACTGGCTTGTTGCCTTTAGCGTGGTGTCCCCATGGTCCGTCTGTGCTGTAAGCGTGTCAGAATTGCCTTCCCGTTGAAGGCTGAGTAATGTCCCCTGTGTGTCCGAATCCCGTTTGTGCTTACTGATGCGTTGACTCTGTGTGGGTAAAGACGCTGGGCATGGCGCGTCTTGGTCTGTGAGAGCTGCAGTCAGAGAGTGCCATCCCTGGGTGGCTACAAGCAGCAGGAAGTTATTCCACAGGGTTCTGCAGGCTGGCAAGTTCAAGGTCAGGGCAGGAGCAGATTCGGTGTCTGGGGAGGGCCCAAGGTGCACTTGGAGCCACAGTCGCACTAACGCCTTCCCCTCTCTCTCGCACACAGGCCAGTCGATCGTGGGCTGCAAGGCCATCCTCATCGACGACCAGGTCTTCGTGGTGGTGGCCCAGCTCTTCGGCGGCTCTCACATCTACAGATACGACGAAAGCTGGACCAAGTTCGTGAAATTCCAGGACATTGAAGTCTCGCGCATCTCCAAGCCCAACGACATCGAGCTGTTCCAGATCGAAGACGAGACGTTCTTCATCATCGCCGACAGCTCCAAGGCGGGGCTCTCCACCGTCTACAAATGGAACAGCAAGGGCTTCTACTCTTACCAGTCTCTGCACGAGTGGTTCCGCGACACGGACGCCGAGTTTGTGGACATCGACGGGAAGTCGCACCTCATCCTGTCCAGCCGTTCCCAGGTCCCCATCATCCTGCAGTGGAACAAGAGCTCCAAGAAGTTTGTCCCGCACAGCGACATCCCGCACATGGAGGACGTGCTGGCCGTGAAGAGCTTCCGCATGCAGAACGCCCTCTACCTGTCCCTCACGCGCTTCATCGGGGACTCCAGGGTCATGAAGTGGAACAGTAAGCAGTTCGTGGAGATCCAGGCGCTCCCGTCCCGAGGGGCCATGACGCTGCAGCCGTTTTCTTTTAAAGAGAATCACTACCTGGCCCTGGGCAGTGACTACACCTTCTCCCAGATATACCAGTGGGATAAGGAGAAGCAGCTCTTTAAAAAGTTTAAGGAGATTTACGTGCAGGCGCCCCGCTCCTTCACGGCCGTGTCCACCGACAGGAGAGATTTCTTTTTTGCGTCCAGTTTCAAAGGGAAGACAAAGATTTTTGAACACATCATCGTCGACTTGAGCTTGTGAGGGTGTGACTGGGGGATCCGAAGGACACGCAGCGTTAGCTCTCCCGGAAGAGAAGCCCGAGGAGATGGAGATAAAATACGAAGTAAAAGCCAGGCTGAGAGCGCTGAAGCTCAAACTGCACTGGGGAAGTAGTTAGAAGTTTTCAAATGTTTAGGACTCACATTCTAATCAGGGATCACTCCTATTGGCTAACTGCATGACATGGCCATTCTACCATTTACAAAGACCTCGTAACGCCTGTAATTTCTGAGAAAAAGAATCCAGCATTTACTCTCACCACTTAGAAAAGTAATGTGCTGCTGTTCTCTCTCCCTCCCTCCCTCTCTCTGTCTCCCCCTCCTCTCTCTCTCTCTCTCCCCCTCCTCTCTCTCCCCCCTCCCCTCTCTCTCTTTCTCACTTTTTCATTAGAAGGAGAAAAGTGGGGATGATGGGACAGCTCTGTAATGAAATAAAAAGCAAAGACGCACCCCTAGCGGTCGCTTTGTTGAGACTCGGAGAGCCGCAGTCCTAGCCGCCAGGAGGCGCTGCTGAGGGCTCTGCAGCCCTGTGGCCCTCCGCACTGATGCTTTGGGACTTCCTACCTTGCTGCAGGCAGGGCCCGGTGTTCCCGAATCTTCCTTAGGAGCAGAACGTCGGCTCTGCCCTCGCTCCTATGGCTACCTGTCGCGGGTGTGTTAACAACCCAGTGTTTGATGTTGCCCCCTGTGCCACAGAGGAAATATTCCGCCGCCACACGTGTGCGCTCGGCATGGGCCGTGGGCCCGGGAGTGAGACAAAGCTGTCGTCTCCTCTTCCTCTTGCTTCAAAGCTGACCCGCGTGGTGGCCGGGGCAATCATGCTTGTTTGATGCTCTCCACGATGCACCTGCCTCACCAGAATCCTTCCTTTGAGTTTGTGGGTAACTAGCAGACGGGCCAAAGACTGAATGGTGCTTTTTATCCTGTCCTCAGTGGGATGCAGGAGCTACTGCCGTCTGATGTGCATTTGGGAGCGGGCTAGAAGTGAGATTTTATGGAGTCAAAGGGGCTTGCACGCAGATCTCGGTGCGTTTTGAAGCTGAGAGGTGGCCTTTGATTGGCGCGGGGCCTTGCCCTCTGGACAGCTTAGTATTTCAAGTGACAGATACCAGCTACCTCCCTGCCCACCTGCCTACCTCCCTACTCCTGCAGCAGTCCGGTGTGGCTGAGTCGCTGGTGTTGCCGCTGCCGCCGCTGTCCTACTAAAGATACTACGGATGCCGGCGCCGCGGCTCACTAGGCTAATCCTTGCGGCGCCAGCACACCGGGTTCTAGTCCCGGTCAGGGCGTCGGATTCTGTCCCGGTTGCTCCTCTTCCAGTCCAGCTCTCTGCTGTGGCCCGGGAATGCAGTGGAGGATGGCCCAAGTGCTTGGGCCCTGCACCCCATGGGAGACCAGGATAAGCACCTGGCTCCTGGCTTGGGACCAGCGTGGTGGGCCGGCCGCGGCGGCCATTGGAGGGTGAACCAACGGCAAAAGGAAGACCTTTCTCTCTCTCTCTCTCTCACTGTCCACTCTGCCTGTCAAAAAAAAAAAAAAAAAAAAAAGATACTACGGAGCCCAGCCCGGCTCAGCACAGGGCCACGCTTCCCTCTCCCCAACTTTAAGCAAGGAGTCCCACACAGGGCCATGGTTGTCGCAGGGTCGTCCTGTCCAGGCTGATCAGCAGGAGCCGAGAAACTGAATCCCCAGACCAGAGCTGCTCCCAGGGCACCAGGTGGGCTCTCCAGTGTGGTGCAGAGGGGAAGCTGACGGAGACTGGCCTTGTGGGAGGGGCCGCACGTGTGTCTTGCTTGCATGGCTGGGCCCTTCTGAGAACACGAAGTGAAAGCTCCCAGGGAGGGTAACTCAACTTCTTCTCCCCTTGCCAGGAAGGCAGCCCTGTGGTGTATTTGTTTGATGATCCGTTGGCACAGCCTGCGTGGGTAGATGTTTGCCTGCAAATGCGAATGTTTGTGCTTCCTGACTGTAAGCAGTGCAGACCAAGGCAAGAAATAGCACTCGGAGGATGCGCTGAGCTGGTGAGGGCTCATCAGCCCCCACGTCCATTCTGCAACCAGGGAGCTTAAGGAACCAACTCGCCCACACACATCAGTGTTGCTGCTGCAAACATTTTGACTAACTACAAAGCAAACAGGAGAAAAGTATTTTTCCAAAAAAAAAAGAGTATATATTTGAAAGAGGGAGAGAGACAGACAGAGACAGAGAGGGAGCTGACCTCACTCGGCAGGTACCCACGGCAGCAGGGGCTGGGCCAGGGCTGAAGCCAGGAGCCAGGAACTCAATCGAGGTCTCCCCCATGGGTGACAAGAACTCGATGACTTGAGCCATCACCGGACTGGAGCCAGGTATTCCACTGTCGGATGTGGCATCTTAATCCGTAGACCAAAGACCCATTCCTGTTGTCATTTTTAGGCACAAATAACTCTTCCTTTTGCCTTTTTTTTTTTTTTTTTTGCCCTCTTGGTTTCTTTGCATTGGCTCCAAGTGCCCAGATTCCCACTGAAGGTGGACAGCTCTGGCAGTAGAGACAGGCGAGCTGTTCTTTCTGCTGCCGGGAAGCCTCAGATAGACCCTGGGTGGAAGAGGTGGCAGCTGGCAAGGAGACATGGAAATGGTCCCAGCACTCACACAGAGTGGGAAGGGCGCTCCCATTCCGGTCACTGGCAAAGCAGGTGCCCTGGGGCATCATTTCGCAGTGTGCCCCTCCCCCCCAGAGCCTGCCCTCCCTTTCCCTCCCTGCCCTAGCTTCTCAGCTGTCCTTACCATGCTGGTGACCACTGCCTCCAGCCTGGACAAGCAGGAAGCACAGGGTGTTGAGCTGAGGGTGGGGGAAGAATATTTGTGAGCATAGACGGGCCTTTGGGGAAGAAAGAGCTCCAGGCAATGGGGGTGGGGCGTGAGAATCCACTCAACTGCAATCGGATTTTCAGTTCTTCTTTTTTTAAAAAATGTGTGCAAGACTAGAGTCTGCAGTCTGCAGAATGCTAGGGCTGGGGGAGGGGACAGTTGTTCCAGCCAACTGAGGACAGCAGCGTAGCTGTTCTTGGCACAGGTAGTAGAAGCTTTGCTTTATTAATCTTCCCATTCCATCCCAAGAATCCCTAAAGTCTTAGGTAATTTCTGCAAGAAATTCTCTTCTAGTAATAACGTGAACCAAAACCCCAACCCAACCATCCTGGCAAAAGTCCCAGGCAGGGAAACCCCTGGGACCACCCTGTGGCGATTGGCTGCAGGAGGCGCTGTCCGGGCATCCACGCACTTGTGTCCCTCCCTTGGTCATCTCCGTGGCTGGGCTCCCAGTGGCTCCTCTGCACAGTCACGTGGCTTTCAGGCCACTGCCTTAATGTGAGAACTTGTCCCCAGACAGTGCAGGACTGGGAGTAGCTGTCTTATAAAGTCTGCACTAACACCCTTAACCTGGGAAGCACTGTGTTCCTGGCAGTGGAGCCTGAGCCCGCCTTGCATTCCCGCCAAGCTTTAGATATTTTGTGTGTCCATTTGTGTGCAGCTCATTTGCTCGTAAATGGTTCTTCAGTGGGTTGGAGGTATCGTCCTCATTTCAGGGAGGAGATAGACATGAAATCTAAGTGGTGTTTCCTGCCCCTGTGCAGTCAGTCGTGGATGGCAGTGCTCGGACGTTCAGGTCAGGTAGTGGGCATTGTATTTGCTTTGTATGATGCTCTGGGGGTACCCTCCCAAAGAAAGACTTTCCTTTTTTGTTACGGGTTTGGATATAGCAGCACCTAGAGATAAAGTAACAAGTGCGAGAAAACGGGCAGAGCCGGAAGACAGCCATGATGAAGGGCAGCTCTCCATCGACTGGCCCATTGACCGATGAGCAAACGTCACACAGCTGCTACGACACGCAAGGCCCTGCTTCTGAAAGTCTCCCAGCAGGGAGAGTCTGCTGTTTCAAAGCGGCCTGCTGGCTGGCCCGGTTGTCTCTCCCCACTCTTAGCGAAGGTTCGGGCGCCTCTGGCTCTTGTCACGGAGTACAAGAGCGTGCCGGGGAGAATTAAAACCCAATGCACGACGGTGATGAATGGCTCGTGGCCCTAGGCGGCCTTCGGGGAACACACTGGAAGTGGCAGTGCTGCGTTTTCCTCCGCATGGAGTGCGTGCGAGGCTGTGTATTTTTAGGTAAGAAATCAGCGTGGGATGCCAGAAGTTTGGCTGCCAGGAACTCTCCTGATGGAAAGTTCTCTGGCAGGGGCTGCGATGGAGGACAGCGCGGGTCTCAGGAGGGGGTCTATTCGAATGCCACCTAAAGAAAATTCCTTCAGCCCGCTTTCTGGGCCCCCTGCAGAGGTCCCAGCCTCTCCCGCACAGGGGAAGCTCTGTAACGGGACAGTGGCCAGCAGCTCCCTGGAGTGGAATGCAGTGAACCTGTGTGTAGGCGGTGAGGAAGGTGGGGGACAATAGAAAGGGGGCGGGCAGGAACGCATGGGCAGGTGGCAGGCACTCTTTGGGGAAAGCAGAAAGAAACTTGGAAGGAGAGAACCACTGGTCATGATTTCCTTTGCCTCTGCCAAGCAAGCAGAGAGCAGAATGGCCGGGCAGATGCACGGCATCCCAATTTTTAATGCAAAAGACCCATTGCAGTGCTACCTGCGTGGATTACGTCATGACGCTACCGAGAGGAACGGTTATCTTTACCGTGTCCCATTGCCTGTACAGGATCCGCCTTTTTTTCTAGTAGGAGACCGTATGCTCCCTGTCCGTCCCTGTGACTATCAACAACGTCCAAGAAGTGTGACAAAATAGGCCAGTGTGCACTTGGTACCATTTTTCTGTATTTGAAATGCATACCTTAGGTGAAATCCGAATCGTTGATATGTATAAGAAAGCAAGTTTTGCAGGATTCAGGCTCTCATGAATGCATTTCAAGGCTGTGTATATATTTAGCCCTTTTTGGTAAATAAAGTTAACAAATGATATGCCTCGTAATTCGGTATACTCTGTAAGCCTATGAATAAAAAGTAGTCTGTGCCTCGTGTGGCTTTGATCTCTGGTCTGTTTGAATATGGATACGTCCACTTGTGCCTCAGAGTTGAAGGGACACCCCTAAGGGACAGTAATATCTTTCTGGCTCACTCTCTGTTTAAGTGGGAGACGGGCCCCACAGGGAATTTTCTGAAACTCAATATTTTTATTTCTGAATAATTTTAAGTTTGCACAAAAGTCGCTGAGATGATACAGGGTTCCCAAAGATGCCTCGCGCAGTCTCCTCCAAGGTCAATATCCAGCGATTCCACTGTACGCTTGTCAAAACTGGGATCAACGCTGCCACGTCACTACTAATTAAACCTCAGGCTTCACTTGGTGTGCACCAGTTTTTCTGCATGTGTCCTAGTTCCCGTTCCAGGACTGACCAGAGTACCACACTACTTTAGTCATCGGATTTTAGTTTCTAGAAATCATTGGCTGCTTCTCAGCTCTGCCTTGTCTATCAAGACCTTGTTGGTCTTGGGGAACACTGGTGTGGGATCCTGACCCACGGCTCTGAACTCCAGGCACCGCAGGCGTCCTCTGGGTCTGCTGGCGGGGTTGAGCTGGGAGCCGCTGGAGGGCAGGTTGTCTGCAGGCCCAGGCTCCGACCTGGCACACAGCAGGTGCGCAGTAATGGTTTGCTGCACATATCTTAATCCAAGCCCCATTTGGTTGAGTTGGACAACTGGCGGCTCAGAAAAATCACAAATTCCACATGACTCTTGTGGACTTCTGAGAACGCCATGGGGTCCGCAGAGGCCCGAGTCAGCTGAGACGCCGTCCACGCTGCAGAAGCCCTGCAGCTGGTGCCCAGGCTATGGGACTGTCAACCAACTCCAGCTGCATCCAAGGAAGCATCTACTGTTGAGGAATGAGCTCCATGTCTTGGGGCCATTGTAGGAAAAGGGTCAACATCCCCCTCCTTTGCCCCTCCCTGCAGAGATGACATTGCACAGTGGGGAACGCAGTGTATGTCCTCACTCGGCAACCAAGGCTTTAACTGTTAGCAGGTATCTTTGCTGATTCGTAATGCAAATGACAACTGCATGTAAAACTTCTTGTTTAAATCAGACTCAGTGCCCATACCCACCCTATAAGAAAAGTATACAATGTGTCATCACACAGAAGCTTTCTAAGTGGCCACTTCAGACTGCTGCCTGTGAAATCCTCGCTGTGACATCTCTGATTCTCCAACCAGACGTGGACTATCTCAGTTTAGTCTATGGACCAACAGGGTGCCAAGTACTTTGATGGACTGGGTAGCGGTTTCCTTTTTAAAGATTTCATTTATTTACTCAAAAGGCAAGGAGAGAAAGAGAGAAAGAGAGAGAAAGAGAGAGAAAGAGAGAGAGAGAGAGATCTCCATCTACTGTTTCACTCCCCAAATGGCGGCAATGGCTGGAGATGGGCCATACTGGAGTTCTAGAGCCCAGAACTCTGTCCAAGTCTCCCACGTGGGTGTAGGGGCCCAAGTACTTGGATCATCTCCTGCTGTTTTCCCAGATGCATTAGCAGGCAACTGGATCAGGAGCAGAGCAACTGGGACTTGAATCGGCACCTATAATGGGATGCCGATGTTGCAGGTGGCAACGTCACCCGCTGTGCCACAATGCTGGACCCTGGAGAGCTTTTTCAAAAAGGCAAGAGCACAGTCTGGCCCTCATGGGACTTACAGTCTAGTTAAAATAGAAAGTCATGATTGCCTAAAGTTAAAATCAGCAATACAAGATCTTAATAAAATTCTGCTTCACAGAGCCATGTGGGACAATGTAGTGAAACAGTTACAGGTCAGAGCCAAATATTTAATGACTGCTGTGGCAAAGCACTGATGAATTTTGTATCCCTATGCAACAAACTTCCATGCAAGTAGCGGCTCAAAACCAAATGTGCATTAGCTCACAGCTGACATGGGCCCGCAGTCCAGGCACGGCTGCCATCAAGGTGTTAACCTGACCACATTCTCACTTGAAAGCTCGCCCAGGAGCTGAGCTGCTTTGCAACCTATTCAGGCTGTGGCAGCGTTCACGGTCTTGTGCTTATAGCACTGAACGCCCTGTTTTCTTGCCACTGTTGGCTGGGGCCCTCCTGGGTCTTAGAGGCTGCCCACAAGTCCTTGACCCTGTGATCTTCACCTTTGACAGCTCAACTGTTGACTTGTTCAAGGTCATCAGGAGTCATTGGAGGGACATCTGGCCCCCTTTCCCTATCCCATCGGTTTGAAACAGGTCTCACAGTCCAATGTCAGTCAAGGGGAGGGGATTATCCAGGAACATGATTGATAGGGTTGAGAGGGTGTGTCCACCGCAGCCACCAGCCCAGCTGGACGAATGCCCAGCCGGTAGAGCAGGCACTAACCATCACAGCCTTCACCTGGATCCAGATCACAAGCTCATAGGAGAAAAGGTCATTTGCAGGCAGGGGAACTCCTCTTTTGACCCAGATAGAGGGGGAAGGGCCTGGTTCCTCCTCACTCTCATCATACGTAATTTTTTCCCATTAAGTCACTCTTCTGTGTTTGTGGAGAAGTGCAGAAAAGAGTGACGTTTCCCCAGACGTGTGAGTTAGAAGTAGTTAAGGCCAAGGCCAGTCTGAACATCTCAGTGCACAGCCTCCTGGAGCTGAGGCGCTCTGCTGGGCACTCACCAGGGCCAGGCATCTTGTTTTCTCTGCTTCTCGGAGAGCTAACTGAGGACTAACTGTCTGAGAAGAATTGGAGGCCTAAGTCACGTGTCACCTTCCTTGGTCACCTGGCCCTGAGTTCATCCTTACCTGCCTCCCAGACAGCACAGCCCTTCCCTAACCAGGGTCTAATTGGCACAAATGACTTTTTTTTCCCCAACAAATTGGTAGCAGAGGTGAGACTCGAGACCCTGGACAAACCCTACCCCCTGACCTCTTGTTAAACGTGAACTTCTGCTCCTGCCTTCAGCCAGACAGCAAGCCGAGGCAGCACAAAGGAGAGGCCGCCAGTAAGGGACGCGCTGCCCCAGAAGCCCATGCACCTGCTGGAGTTCAGGACACACGCCTCCAGGGGCTTCTCCGGGAAATCTACGCAAAACCAAGGGAGAGGCCAATCCCCTTCCTCTTCCAAGAGCCAGCTGTTCTGGGGAGAGAGAACTTAGCCAAGCCGTCTGTGCCATCCATGGCCCCAGAAATGACACAGAGCTGTGGTCAACTCCTCCAGTTGTCGGGCTGAGAGATTCCAGATTGTGTCGCCAGCCCTGTCCGTTGTGCCAGCTCCCTGTCTGAGTTGGTCATAAGGTGACCTGAGGGAGGCATGTGAGGCTGGGGCCGCAGGAGAAAGCGGCGACCTTGACTCTTGTCCTGGGCCCACGATGACCTTGTTGCCCACCCTGGTGTCACTCAGCCGTCGTCTCCTCCTGCATTTGTTTCTCCTAAGAATTCTGCACACACTACAACTGCAAAACATAGTTATACGAGGTTTACATCATTCTCTTGTCCTCCTGGGTCCCAGCACCTTCATTCATAAATCACATGACAATCCCAATTGACTTTCCACCGGAGTCTTTCCAGCTATGTGGACAGTGCAGCACTAATACTGAGAATACAAAAACCTCCAGAAAGATACAGAAGCCTGAAGAAGCTTTGAAAGCAGTGATTTCAGCCGTTTACATGGGGTGGACAGTCTCAGGGCGGCTGAAGGCATCCCGGGGTCAGTAGTGTGACCGTGGGGGCAGCCTCGCCCCAGTGTGGCACTCGTGCCAACAGCTCAAGACCCAACAGTGAATCCGTCCTTGTGGCCCTTGGAAGAGGAGGAGAGCCTGTTCCCAAGGGTCCCCACGCTGCTTCTGAGATGCAACCCCCAAAGTGTGGGTCTCCAGCCACACAGCAGCAGCAGCCCCCAGCCCTCATTCTCTAATCCCCAGAAACTCTTGCTCACCTCACCCCTCTGCCTCCGGCCCAGCCCTCTCTCCCAGTCCTCCACATCAGGGCTCCTGGGCAGAAACAGAACGGTGTGGGGGATGCTCCAAGCCCTCCAACCTTTGTGTTTGCTGTTGAAATGCAGTCAGATGGGAGATTCCTCTGCCACCACTTCTCTCCTGCTCCACCAAGCTCCCTCAAATTCCCCGCTGCCCGCCCATCTAGAGGGGGACCCGACTTCCCTCCCCTGGAGGGTGAGCTGTGCTCAGCGACACGACACAAGCGCTGGTAGGACAACCCGGAACAGGTTTTAGAAGTATTTTGGCTTCCTCCTTTCTCTCTCTTGGGTTGTCTCCTCTTGGCAGGGGGAGGGCAAGAGAGAGAGAGAGAGAGAGAGAGAGAGAGATCTTCTCTTTTGCTTCACTTCCCAAATGCCCACAATAGTTGAGGCTGAGACTCAGTGAGACCCAACTATTTGGGCCACCACTTACTGCCTTTTAAGGTCTACATTAGAAGAAGCTGGGAAGGATGTGGAACTTGGAGTTGAACCCAGACACTCCGATGTGGGATGTGGGTGTCCTAACCAATGGCTTAACCACCAGACCAAACGCCCACCCCATACTAGCATTGTTGTTGGCATACAGAAACGAGGTCTCCCCCGAATAAATCCATTACCTTGAGAAAGTTTAGAAATGAATACAGATACTACACCATGCTGTGCCACACCACCAGCACGGACACACACACACACACATGCACACACACACACTGTTTAAAGGAGAAAGGTCAGTTCCGCAAATAATGCATGCCCAGGTTGGCCCGTGACTCATGAGGAAACAACGGTATTGAAATCAAAAGTGGGAAATATTCAATTTAGCTAAACAATCGAGAGATTGCTTGAAAGCCTTTCAACAGAGTCTTGACCTGGCTTTGCACATGGGAGGGGAATGTGATTGCTTTAGCTTCCCTAACCACGCTCAGAAAGGTTTCCCGGAGGCAAGAAGGTCGTCTGGCTTGCGCTCCACGGGCCAGGAATAACTGTGAGGTAGATGAAGATGCCCAAAGACCATCCGGGACACCTCTCTGTCAGCTCGTGGGCTTTAACGGAACCCCTGTTCTCAGAGGACCGTGCTG